CCCCCCCTCATGAGTAATCTCATGAGTTTTAGAAGAGACCTCCAAAATATATCAAACCTTTTTCATATCTATGTAGTCTTACTGTATGCCAAGAATTGCCTTGTTTGCTTCTATTTTTTATTTATTTATTTGTTTCCAAGGAGTTTGTTTGAATGAATAATACATGATTGCGATCTCCAGTAAATTTCCCAAGTTTTGAAACAACTTCTGATCAGTGAATTTTCCCTCAAGGCTCTTAAAAATTAAGATGGCAATGCAATGGCAGACAGGTTTTACATCCGAGAACTTTGTACGTTCCACTTTTTATGTTTTTAGAAAATCATGTATTTGCTGCTGCTGTAAAGAGCCCAGTAACAACACTGATTTGAAGAACCGAACATCCTAATATATTTTATTTTTTAAAGTGTGGAGTAAACAATGCCATATCATGTACCACCCACATATTTAATGATCTCCAAAAGCATGAAGTAGGTCTTAGCTCACAGATTTTTCTTGTCACAGCCTGTTGCGCTGTGTGCAGCCATAGCTTTCATGGGTTTTTGTCAGCAGTTATTTGGCTAACACACACTTTCATTAGTTGTGTAAGGGACTCGCCAGATATGTATATATTTAGACCTGCTCAAAAACATCTGAACAAAATCTTTGTTGACCACAAACGATATACAATATCAGGTATTTGTATGCCATGTGTTAATGTGGCATACAGTATGTACAATAAAAGATTCAAGTTAAAAGGGTGGTTCATTGCGATTTCACTTTTTTAACATTAGTTAGTGTGTAATGTTGCTGTTTCAGCATAAACAATATCTGCAAAGTTACGAAGCTGAAAGTTCAATGCAAACGGAGATATCGTCTTTTAAAATTCTGGCAGTTTAATGCCTACAAAAACAGCTCGTAGGGACTACAACGAGTTACTTCCCGGGTTCGTGACATCACAAACCCAGACAAACCCCGCCCTCGGGAAAAGGCAGCAAAGGCGGCGGGGCCATGCTGCGCTGCTTTAGAGAAGAGGAAGAGAAAACTAGAGGTGCACGTAAAAATCTGTTCATATATGAATCGCGATTCTGTCTTCTAAGGATTCCAAAGGATTCACAAGTTTCAAAATGAATGTTCTAAAGCAGCGGTTCTTAATACTGTTCCTCGTGTCCCCCTGCTCTGCACAAGCTCTGCATATCTCTCTCTCTCTCATTCAGCTCAGCTCCAGCAATGAACTGTTACAATTATACACTTATTTTCACATGGCTATGAGAAGCGTTAAACATGGTGTGCAGTTGCCTTGCTGTATTAAAGCGTTAATCAGGATAAAACCATGTATATTAAAAGCTAACATAAGCAGTAGCATTTACAAATAACAGCGTATCTAAAAGTATGAGACAACAACAAACAAAAAACATAGGCCTACCATTAAAAGCCGTGCTTGCACAGGTTCTGCGCGATCCTCTTCAATAATATCCTCTGCTTCTCAATCGGGTTCAAACTGATAAGCGATATTAACGACGCCATTGTTTACAATACAACCGGAGCACATGCCGCCGAGGTGAGGTGCGGGATGTTTAGATGCGCACTAGAGGTGGTTTAGCCAATCACAACACACTGGGCTAGCTAACCAATCAGAGCCCATCGCCTATTTCTGAGGGCGGGGCTTCATAAAAGAAGGAAATTATCAGGGTGTTTCTCAGAGAAGGGACAGAGCGGTGTGGAATAAAGGTAAATTATGTGAAAAATAATGCGTTTTTTTTTTTAAACGAAGCATTAACACATGTTAGACTGCACCCCATAAACACAATCAAGCCTAGAAAAAAACCAGTGAACCACCCCTTTAAAGATTTGGTGAAGCAAACTCATCAAGACCTGATTGTCCACAAAATGCCATAGTTGCAATAAAACTGGTGTTAGCCAACACCACGCATAGAAACTAGGCAAATTGACAGAACGATTGCAAAAGCATCTTAAGACTTTTTTTCATTCTACAGTATAATAACAATAATTGTTGTTACTATGGTGATTATGCAGACACTTTGGTTATCAAGGTCAATATTAACAATTGTCTTTGAAAGCTTGTGTACTGGTCTCTGTGTGTGCATGCATCTGGTTTATAATGAAAACTCTTTAGGCTTATATGTATCATTAGCTTAAATGTGTGGATTATTTACATTGTGATTTAAGTTAAAAGTCATGCCCTGAAACCATCATCATATGGCTGAGCTGAGATTAAATGCAGCCATGTTCATAAATAAACACCATCAATCCTGATCGACAGAGCAAATGTTCGCAGTATGGAAATGATTTATACTGATAAACACACCTTAAAATAATTTGTAAACTGAATGCTTCTTTTAAATTGTGTTCATGAGGTGCACAAGCAGAATAATTAGGGCATGCATGTGTGATTTATAGCTCATCAGTCAATCTGTCAGCGTGATGTCTTTGTTCGTCTTGCTGGCGTTGTTGGTCTAGTCTAGCTGCACCTTAAACGCATTGCTCCTGTTTGCTCCGGTGCAGTGTTTGTGTGTGATTGACAGAGAGAAAGCGAGAGAGCACTCTCTATTTAAATACTTTAACTGCACCTCCCTCCATTTCTTATTGTTCTCAGCTTTTTGTGAACGACAGTTCCTTCAGGCAGAGAATGCTGTCTGTCTCTCGGCTTCTCACCATCTCTGCTTGTCTGTCAATTCTGAGCAGCTTCCATCAACCCCTTTCTTTTACTTCTGTCCGTGTCACGTAAGACACACATTTACCTATAGTTATCAGCAGCATAGGAATCCATTGCTTTATATATATATATATATATATATATATATATATATATATATAAGTAATTACCCTAACCTGTCACATACCACAGCCCTACCCATAAAAAGAAAATAATTTCACTTTTATAAAATAATAAAATAAAAACACCATGTATGACGGAAATTATGAAAATGACGTATTATCAGACTGAGCTAACTTCTGCAGCCAATTTGTTTCACACAGCACACCCAGAACCACTTGACAGAGGAAACTGAGCAGGTAATACAATAGTGAAGTTCACTGCAGATGGTATAATTCATGGAGAGGAGCTACATAATTCATGCAGAAGTTGTGTAGAAGTGTTCTCCATATGTGCTGGCAGTCTGCACCGGGCCCGTGTTAATACTTTACTGCTGCCACATCCGCAGTGCATTTAGATTGATTATTTGTGAGAAAGATGGTGAGAAATAGAGAAAAGGAAACATACAACAGTTGGTGGAGATGCCGAAAAAAGAACAAAGGGAGTGACTCGAACCATTTGGAATTTTTAAAACAGTTTACATGCGACTTATTAGAGAAATGTGCTGGGTTGAGAAATAACAGATGATATGCTTATGAGGTGAAAACTGTCCTGACGTTCTCTTTTTTTAAAACTATATATATATATGTCTATGAAGCAATTAAAACTTTTAAATAAAAGAGCAGGAGCTTAATGCGTCTAACTCAAACATAATCCACAGCAGTAG